CTGTCCCCCGTTGTCCATAGCCCTATGAACTAATACTTACCTCTCCTAATCCATTTTTCTAATCATATTTAATCTTATCTGTAATTGAAGGCATGAGCTCAGCTTTTTCTATGACCCTCTTGCGTACCTGTTTTCATAGAATTTTCATAGCACTGCTGTTTCAACCATGGATCGAATGTCACTTTTTCTCGATTTATCTGTGATGGGCGGAAGCAATAAATCGTTCGTATGAACGAGAAATAAATCAAAAACTCACTTTTGCGTTACCTTCAACGACCGAACTGATCATTATCTATGTGCATCTATTTATGTCAATATAGATGTGTATCCATGAAGGTAGTATATTATATCTATGTCGATCTAATCGTTCTTTCAAATTAATGGGTTTGCCTGAGTTTGCTCAGCATCTGGCAAAATCTGCAGTTCAAGTTTTACCTACCCAAAGCCTCCAATCGTTTGATTTTTTCAAAGAAGCCTATTGCCTTAAACGTTTTTTCATGAGTAGTACTAAATTTGCATGCATAGTCCTCTTATTATAAAAAGAAAATTCCGATGTCAATTAATCTCGTTTTGAGATACGCCTCGCATTTGGTTTCCACTCAGAATCGTAGTGACGTTTTGAGTGAGTACATGGCTTATACAATGAAACACGGTGGCTACTCAATATCAAGTCAATCCTTTTTTCCTCCGAAACGTGTCTGCTACAAAACCGACCTCGAGGTGAAAAAGGACGGGAGGATTGGTTGTCCTGGGTAGTTATTAGGGAATTCGATCACAAGAACGGAAGCTGCGCGATAAGGCACTGCTTGCCACCAAATCACCTCCGCCCTCGCTCTTATCACATTGTATGCATATTATTATTATTCCTATTATTATATTAATTATAGAGATAAATAATATAGATAATAATTCTCTCTATAATTAATATAGATATATTAATTATAGAGAGAATTAATATAGATAATTTATTCCGAATGCAATAGCAAATGAACCATCATTGTAAATCGACTCGGTGCGCTACTGCATAATCCTTGACGATGAAATTCTATTGAAATAACCAGTGAAATATTCAAGTAAAACAGTCGTGGAATGGGATTCCCCAATGAATCAGACTGAAGAAAGGTTGAGAGCTGGGAATAGACCGTGTATCGGCGTTTTCCTATAGAGAAAAAAGAGTGGATTAACGGTCTCCCTTCCCTTCTGACCATCTTTTCTTGCCCGACAGTTATTATTAAATAATGGGGAAAGAAAAATCTAGATTGATCCTTGCCATCTAAAGAGCAAATCAAGATTCTTCGAAAGGTCCCAGAAGGTCTGAACCTGGGCCGATATCTTCACCGTCCATTCATGTACCAAGCCTTAGCGAATTGCAAGCTTGGTTGGTTTTCATTTTGAAAACTCTTAAATTCACAAAATAAACTTCATGTTTGTGGTGAGTTTGAAATTTCCCGTAGAATGGTGTAAAAATGCATTGAAATACTTCAAAAATCCTCCTTGTTAATCTGCACATTAATTACACATGAGGGTATCGTATAACATATGTTCCTCGACTTCATTAGGTCAATTCGTTTTTGGATACATCGATCCAAAAATGAAAGGGCTTGCCTGCTCACTCTATAAACGGGCAATCAGAAGATTAAGAGAAAGCTATACTTAAGGCTCCGGCCTTAAATTTTCTATGCATGGAGAGAGTTTTGGTTACTCAATTCGGTTATGAAGTTTACGTAGCTGGTTTTCAATTTCGGGGCTTCTTCAAGGAGAGGGAAACCTGGAGGACAAAGAAAATTTTGAATGGGGTCATTCGTTGAGTACATAGCGCTAACTACGAGTCACGATCATGAACCAAGACTTTCGAAAAATTCCATCTCAGACATACTGCATTTGCTGAAAATCGAACAACCTTGTGTATTGTCGCCAACGGCATAGGTCCTTTGAGCTTTTCAGCAATCACAGATGAATGTTTTTAGGGTCACCGACCACGATAGCACACCATTTTTACACTCAGATTCAATCTGAAATCATCGGATACGATCAAATGGTAGAGTTCCTTGGAAGATATTGAAAATCGCAAAATGAAACCTCAGCCCAACTTGTCATGCGATTTCAGAGATGCGCGTACTCCCGATCCATGTTGTTGCCTTAGCATTGTTCCTTCTGGTAATGGTTTTTGTATGTATATCTATAGACAGTCAATTTGTTGGACGGCTGCACGGAGGCTTTGTAAGACTTCATTATATCATATATTTTACTCATATATTTTTATAGATCATCAAATAAAATCAGGGTCAAGATTACATAAAACTCAACTGCCTAGGAAGCTCGATTTGACTGTTTACTCATTGTGCATTATTTTTTTTACTTTACTGGGTAGT